ACAGTTCTACTCTGACATACATGAGGTTCCCCTGAATCAGAAATGACTCCATAGCGACTTTTACCAAGGGTGATAACATGCTCATGTCTTTTGCATCAATTGCTTACTTCTTGGATTCTATCCTAAGAATAAAATTCAAAGTATATAAAAAACAAAAAACACAGTAGCAACATAAAATGCTCAAAGCAGGGACATGTTTAAGTGAAATATGATATGACCACTTGATGGAATAATGCAGTTATTAAAGTCAGTAAGTGAAAGAAAAGGGCTATTTAGCAACACTTAGATGCTTGAAATACAAATGCAGAATATAAGTTTGTACATATACCTGATTATAAAGACTATTTTAAAATACATGCAAAAGTAGACTGAAAAGAAAACAAACCAAAAGAAAAAATTAGTCAAATTTTGCCTGTTGTATACTGGATTTCTCCTTTTCCCTATTTTCTGCAGTGTGGTTATTATAAAGGTAAAATAGATAACTTCTAGTCTACTTTTTCTGATTCCTAAATCAGTGCTCTCATTAATCCATACACTCTCCAATTGTGGATATTTTATTTACTTAAAAAATAAATAAACTGTCAAAAGTTATAATATATGCTATGTTCACGAATGACATGAATGGACCTTGAAAACATTATGCTGAGTGAAATAAGCCAGACATGGAAGGATAAATATTTTATGTTTCCACTCAAATAAAATATCTAGAACAGGCAAATGCATAAAGATGGAAAGTCCATTATTGACTACTAGGGGATGGGGACACAGAGGGTAACAGGAAGCTACTGCTTAATGGGTACTGGGCTTCAGTTTGGGGTGACAGAAAAGTTTACTAACTAAGAGTGGTAATAGTTGTACAGGGAGCTCTGGTGGCATAATGCTGGCAGTTCAAACCCACCAGCCACTCCTCAGAAGGAAGATCGGGCAATCTACTTCCGTAGTGATATTGCTTCGGAAACCCAAGGAGGGGTCGCTATGAGTTGGATCCGACTCGACGGCAGTGAGGAAAAAATATATACATAAAAAAAAGGTTGTACAATACTAATAATTAATTCCACTGAATCGTACACATAAAAATGGTTAAAATGGCAAATGGCTAATATGGAGCCCTGGTGGTACAGTAGTTAAGACATTTATCTGCTAACCGAAAGGTCAGCAGTTCAAACTCACCAGCCACTTAGCAGGAAGGTAATGAGGCAGTATGCTTCTGTAAAGATTTATAGCCTTGGAAACTCTATATGGCAGTTCTACTCTGTCCTACAAGGTCACTAAGAGTTGGAATCGACCCAATGGAAATGGGTATAGTTTTCCATATATATACACACACATCCATATATATATATATACACACACATATGGGGTATGTGTGTGTGTGTGTGTGTATATATATATATATATATACATACACATATAGTGTATGTGTGTGTGTGTATATATATATATACACACACATATGGTGTATGTGTGAATATGTATGTGTGTGTGTATATATATACATATATATACACACACATACACACACACATATACACCATAAAAAAACTTCTGAGAAAGATTAAGTTTTATACCTACTCCAGAATTTCTCTTCTTTGGTGCAGAGTTAAAAACTAAAAAAACCAAACCCACTGCCATGAAGTCACTTCTGACTCATAGCAGCCCCTAGAAGATTTCCAAAGGCTGTAAATCTTTACTGAAGCAGACTGCCTCATCTTTCTCCTACAGATCGGCTGGTGGGTCAAACTGCCGACCTTTTGGTTAGCAGCCCAATGCCTTAACCACAGTACCACCAGAGTAGTTATAAGTTGACTGATTTATTAAAAAAATTAAGATTATTTTCTATCTGCCTTTGGTAGTTTAGCTATAGTTTCTAATATATTATACACTTAGAAAGGCTTTCTATGTGATATGTATAAAAATACTAATAAATTTATCATTTCTAAAAAAGGATTTTTTATTATCTGTTTAATTTAGGACAATGTTTTCAACAACATAATTACACAGAAAGATGTTTAAAAAGCAAGCCTATCATTTCCCTATCATCCTCCATACTGCTTACTAGGAATGAAGTTAAAAGTCAGAGAGATACTACTAGGGAAAGTCACCATTCCTTATTATCCAATGGTGGTAATGATTTAATGCCAGGAAACCCAGATACTGTGGCAAAATAAAGCCCCAGAGAATTTTTTGGATGTTAACACACGCAGCTCTAGGAAATGCCCAAATGACATAGCACATTTTACCCTTATATCACTGGCCTATAATTTGAGTAAATAAAATTTATAAACAAACCTGTAAACAAATGTTCATAGCAGCTTTACTCATAATAGCCAAACACTAGAAACAACTCTAAATCCTTCAGTGGGTGAACTGGTAAACTGTGCCATTCAATGCCATGGAGTAATAGCAACAAAAAAGGAACAAACTATTGATATGTACAATAACTTAAATGGATCTCAAAGGAATTTACTCACACTGAGTGAAAAAAGTCAATCTCAAAAGATTGCATACTATAAATTCCAATTATATCACATTCTCAAAATAACAAAATTATAGGGATAGAGTACAGATTACTGTTGGCCAGAGGGGTGAGGTGGAAAGAAGGTGGATTAGCAATTTAAAAATGTGGTACACAAGATCCTTGGTTGTGGTTACAACATATCTACACATGTGAAAAACTACACAGAACTAAGCACACATACACAAATGAATACATGTAAAACTGGTAGAATCTTTTGATTTTCTAAAAAATTGTTTCCATTTGTCAATTTCCTAACCTGAGACGTTTCCTTTTTTTTCAGGTGATGATGACAAACCCATGAGACTTTGAAAGTACTTAGGAAAACTTGAGTTCATTCTTAAAGAATTAAGAAAAGAATTTGTGACCCTATGAAGCCAAAACCAGGAGTCAGAAGTTTTTTCTCTTACTCTTTCCCAAAAGTGTGAAGAAATTTACTTGTTGAAAGATTTTCTTGCTTTTAAATTTGGCCAACTTCTAAAACTCAGGCCTGTCTTCAGAAG